ACTAAGTGACCAGAGCCTCCTTTACTCTGTCTTCTAAGAAACCAGAGAGCTTGTCCACAACGCTGGTTTTTCCCAGCCCTGGGGCCCAGACTGGGCCCTGAGTGTAAGCCTCCAAGGGCCAGGCTGGCTGGGCCTTCACTGTAGCCATTCCTGCACAGACAGTAGGGGCTTCTCCCATTCACCAGTCTGCTGCCATGGGCATCCCTGCCTGCCCTCCCTCTGGGCCTGTGTCCTGGGCTCTGCAGGAACCAGAGGGGTCACTTTCTCCAGCCTGAACCCTCTGTTCTCCCGGCCCCTCTGGTGCTGCCCAGCTTGGCCAGGCTGGCAGGCGTGGAGGATCCAAGCAGCACTCCCCACCCCCTGTGCCCAAATCCTGCCAGGGTGGGTGCCCTGGGTGAGGCCCAGCCTGGCCAGGATGTCTGGAGCCTGGCCCCGGACCTGCGGGAAGTCACAGAGCAGCCATCTGTCAGAACCACCTGCAGTCTGAGCCCACTGCATTCCGCCGTCCTCTGTCATGGGCTAGGCTCTGCACCAGGTGCCCAGACAAAGTTTAGGCTGCTTAGTCTCCCGCCATGAGCAGCTGGGGTTGGTGGGAGCTTCCGCCCCACCAACTGAGCTCCTACCTGCCCTGTGACACCCATTCACCCTGCGCCCCACCTGCCTCAGAGGGAAGGTGGCCAAGCTACTCCCTGGTCACTGCCTCCTGCCTGGGCCTCGCTGTCCCTCCACCAGCCGCCTTCACACCACAGGCCCTAGAGCTTTCGGGGTCTGCTCTGTAGAATGGGGGCTGGGGGAACTGGTTGTATGGGACTTTCAGGCCCCTGAGCCTCCCCACCCCACCTGATGTCCTCCAGGCTGCCTCCTTCGCGCTGGGCGTCAGCCTGCCAAGGGAGAGGTCCTCGCTGCCTGGTCACGGCTCTCCCCAGCCAGCGGCTGTCATGGGGACCTGCGTTTTGGTTCCGTCGCAGATAAGGGGGTACTGGGGGGGTTCTCTTACCCACAGAGCCTGTGTGAGCCCTGAGGGGCCTATTGGTACCTGAATGGCTGCCACCAGCAGGAGAGGGGACCAGGCCTAGGTGTTCCTTTCCCAACCCTTGAAACGTGCCTGCCACCTAGATGCCTGCAGGCAAGTCCTGCACCCAGCACCACTGCTGCCAAAAGAGACCATCTACCCTCTGGCTGCCTGAGCACCTTCCCTGGAGGGCCTTGGCCCTGGCCCTCCTCCCGGCCCCAGCAGAGCCCATGGGGCTCTGCACACATACTCCCAAGATGGGGCAGTGGACAGGACCTAGGCAGGAGGCAGCTTGCCATCCAGTTCCCTGTCCACCCCCAGAGCCCCAACAGCCAGGAGTCACCCACCAGCACTGACCTTGGTGGCCTACTCCACTGAGCACCCTCTCAGAGGTCTGGGGGCCCCTCTGCAGAGTCTAGCCACCCAGCCCTTTTTCCTTGCCCCTTGCTGGCCCTGGGGGCTTCTGATGAAGCCTGACCGACCTTGGGAGCCCAGTGTAAGGCTCCACTCGCTGGCTGCCAAAGGCAAGGGCCCCCAAGCTATGTCCCCCAGGTCAGGCCACATAACTAAAGAGAGGACAGAGCCCCAGGCCAGGGGTCAGTCCCTCCCCCATGGAGAGGAATCGAGGCCTCTCTGTCCAGGCAGATCCCCAGCCTCTCTCTCAGAGAAGGATCCTGCAGGAGGCTCTCCACTCTGACAGGCCCAGACCCCATGGCACACCACAGCCTTGCCCCACAGAGGCCCGGCTGTGAACCACCCCCTCCAGTGACAAGAGCCATCCTTCTGACCCTATAACCCCTTAGGAGCCCAGCTCCTCCCCCTCACCTCCTAGGGGTAGGGACACCCCAGCCAGACCCACTGCCCTGTCACCACTGGTCTCTGCCCCATCCTCCTGCCCTCCTGCCTCCTCCCTTCTCCCAAACAGGATGGGCTTGGCGCCCCCTCCCTCCTTAGCAGAGCCTTCCCTCCCTCGGCCACTGCCTCCACCCACCCTATTAACTCTAGTTTTGTAAGCAGAGTGACTTGTTGGCTTAATAAATCTCTAGTCATTGTAATAATTTGTTGGCTGCCGTCATGTATTTCTCGGTCATTAAGAAAAAGTGCCAGCTCGTTCCATGTGAGTGCGGTGCCCTGCCCGCAGCCTGCCCACCTGCCTCTGTGTCCAAGTGTAAGGTGTGAGGGCAGGAGGCCACCCCCCTGCCCATACCCCCTCCCCCTGGCAGGCCTCACCTAGGCAGAGGCAGGCCTGAGAGGGCGGGGAGCTGGGACTCACCTGGGCTTGCTTACTGTGCAGTGCATGTGAACTTGCTTCCCCACGCTGCGGGGTAGTCTGCCTGGGCAGGCCGAGGGGGCAGCCCTGGGAGGACTCCCAGCAACTGTAGGCAGGAATGTGAGCTTTTGGTGGCCCCTGGCCTCTGCCTCACGTCTCAGCAGTGTTGGTGTCCAGTGTACCGCCGGTCAGCTCTGGGGCAGCCTGTGCCCTTGGTCCTTGGGGCTGGGCTGCAGAGGGCGGGCAGTTGGGGGTAAGGAAGAGTCTTGGCGCCGGCAACTCCCCCTCCCTGCGGTCAACTTTCCTCAAGGGCCCACCTTGCCGGGAGGCCCACTCCCCACTGTCTTCTGTGTGAGCGTCCCCTCCCCAACTAGACTGTGCGCTCCAGAGAGCAGGGCTGGCAGGCACGGGCGGGAGGGGGTGGCAGTAGTGGGGCTGAGATGCGTACCGTCATCCCATGGCGCCTGCAGCCGAGCCGAGCCCCATGGGACAGCTCTTGTAGACCTCGCCCGGTGGTCTCATTGGTTTGAAGAGACCCACCAGCAGGGCCACTCTGCAAGGTCATCCTCAGCCGCCCAAGGGCACAGCAGCCTGGAGGCCTCAGGAGGGGGGGTGCGGAGTGTGCTTCAGCACTCCCGTGAGCCTGTGGAGACGGACACAGGCCAGGGGTCTCGCAGTCTCTGCTCTGCCCTCCCGGGCAGCCAGCAACAAGGATTCGCTTGCTGTCCTAGAAACGTAACGTTGTCTGAGCCGAGACCACCAAGGTGGCATGAGGCAGGCCAGTTCTCTCCCCCCTAGGGGGACCGGTGAGTGCCGGCCAGCATAGAGGGGCCAGGGTCTGGCTGGAAGAATACATTTCCTCCCTTGGGGGTGGTCAGACCATGCCACTTATTGAGGGACCCTCAAGGGACAAATGAGCCCTCAG